AGAGTGGGTCTCCTCAGGGTGCCGTCGGCCAAGCAGTGCCGGCTGGCGACCCCCAGGGGGAGGGCCTTCTCTGTGGGTGCCCCCACCCTCTGGAACGAACTACCCCCCGAGATTCGGATAATTCCGGATCTCCTTACCTTCCGTCGCGCCCTCAAGACATGGCTCTTTCAGCAAGCGGACCTGACCTAGGGTGGATTTTTTACTGGGTTTTTTAGGAATTTGGAAGATGCAACTCTAAATTTGGTTTAATTCGGTTTTAAGGGGGGGATTGTATATATGTTTTGGTTTTAAGTATGTTGTGCGCCGCCCTGAGTCCCGTCGGGAGAAGGGCGGCATATAAATTAAATTAAATAAATAAATTAAATAAATAAATAGAGACCGAGTGCCCAAAAACTGGCCCCGCCCCTGTTTCACCCCCTGTCCCGCCCCTGTTTCACCCCCGTCCCGCCCCCTGCCCTGCCTGCCCGCAGGGCCACTCACTGCCTCCAGGGCCCGCCACAGATCACCCAGGCAGCCCAGCAGCACCATGGCAGCCCCGCCCTCTGCCCACGCCCCACAACATCAACTGTGCACAATGGGGTGTGAGGGCAGAGTCTTGTCTACGCTGCCTGGCTGCCATGTTCTTGGCTGCGCTGCTCCTCATGGGCCATGCTTGGGGGCGACTCTCCTCCAGGAGGGCTGCTGGTGAGGAGGGGATCACGGGGGGAGGCGGGGCTGGGGCAATGGCATGTATGTCCACAGAGAGGGCTCCGAGTGCCACCTCTGGCACACGTGCCATAGGCTCGCCACCACTGCCCTAGAAGGTGAAACTTACCTAGCAGCTTTTTTGTACATGTTTCAGGCACTGGCATCAAATATATATATCAGTGAAATGCTTTTGGTGCATTTAGGTTAGGGAATTGATCCCCTGTCTTCTTGTAGCTTCACTGCAGGTGAGGTTGGATATGCTACATGATAGATGCTAAATTAACAAGTAGCAAATGAAATGGAGGTGACCTCGTCAAAAAAAATAGATTGAAAATGAACTAATTTAGAAATGGAATACTGAAACTTTATCACTAATATTTTTTCTACTGTACAGTGTTATTTGCATATCTTTATTACATAAACGCATATGTGCTCCTGTTTCAATTTCTTCTTATCTTGAAATTACCAAGATTTCCTGCAGACCTACAATATGTGGCATTTTGTGTTTTCTTCTGCTTTAATGTTTTAGGTTGGCCACCTCATAGAACTCTGCGGGGACATCGAAACAAAGTCACCTGTTTGCTGTATCCTCACCAGGTCTCCTCTCGTTACGATCAGAGATATTTGGTCTCAGGTGGTGTAGATTTTTCTGTCATTATATGGGACATCTTTTCTGGAGAAATGAAACACATCTTCTGTGTGCATGGGGGAGAAATCACTCAACTTTTGGTTCCTCCAGAAAATTGCAGTGTAAGTTAATGAACATCTCCTTGGCACATGCCTCTCTTATAAAGAATAATTTGTTTTCAAGTTGAAATTGTTTTCATGAAAATCTTTTTTATTATTGGTCTACCTTACGTTTATAAACTTTTATTTTATTTTCAAAAATGTGAATATCATTTTGCAAGTTACTGTGAAGGATAGTGTGCAACAGAGTTGGCTGAAAGATGGGTAGCCATATAGATGTTTCAAATAAATAAAACAGAAAACAGTAAAGCAGAATATGCAAAGTAACATTTAAATACAAATAATTTATTACACATGCACTCACACATAAATACAGAAATGACAGAATAATTTGTCCAATTGTGAGGTTATTGCGAACTTAATTCCTGCTTAATGCAATGTTTAAATTGTGAACAGAAGTGCAATTATACTTTGATATTTGCGATTTAGTAGGTGTTACAGTAATAACAAAGGGACTAATGGGAATAGATGTGCACAAATATCTATTAGTGGAAAATAATAAATAAAAGTATTTGAAATCGTGGTTTAGAAAATTTAACACAGAACTGTATATTAGGAACATGGCTTATAAAAATATATAGTCCTTAGTGTGGGGGTTCCCAATCTTGGCAACTTTAAGTTGTGTAGACTTCAACTCCCTTAGAGGATTTATGCTTAGAATTTCCTGGAAGTTATGTAGAGCAGAGGCCCCCAACCTTTTAGGCACCAGGGACCAGTTCTGTAGGGAGAGGTTTTTCCACAGACCGGAGGGGGCGTGGTTTCGTGTGCTGCCTGCATCCCATGGATGGGGCTTTGCTTGTTTTTGTGGCCCGGTTTCTGGCATGCCATGGCCTGGTGGTGGTCCACGGACCGGGGATTGGGGACCTCTGATGTAGAGGGCAAATAAGAGGGAAAAAGAGAGAAAATTCCACAATTAATAAATAGCATAAGTAAGATGTGAATTGGCTGCCCAGACCCAATCATTTTTATGCTCTAGATTTTAGACTACAATAAGCCAACTTATTTAGCTTGAATTAAAGTCTCATTTAGCTTTCAGCTCACTATACAAAGAGTTATTTTATTTTGTTTAAATATCTTAAATGAATGCTAAACCAGGGGTCGCCAATCCCCGGTCCGTGGACCAGTACTGGGCCGCAGCATGCCAGCAACCGTGCCGCACAAACAAGCAAAGCCCCATCTGCGAGATGCAGGCAGCACATAAAACCACGCACTCTCCGGTCCATGGAAAAATCTCTTTCCATGGAACCAGTCCCTGGTACCCAAAAGGTTGGGGACCTCTGTGTTAAATCATATAAATAATAATAATATATTGTTGTAGCTTTCCCAGCCAGTTACCCTCTCAATGTAGTGGATGGTGACTTCTGTAATTCTCAGTTGCTGACTGATAGCTAGGAATTAATGGGAGCCGTTATGTAATCTTTTAGAAATCATACATCCAATCCATTCCAATTCTTTTAAGAAACACATTTCTGTACTGGAAAGCTTGCATATTCAAGCTTTTCTTTCTTCCTGAGGAATATGATTAGTTCTGAACATTTTACTTGTGCTGCTTTTGGGTCTTGGTTAACAGAGAACTGTATCAAGGCACCTTTGCAATAGTTGACTCCCTTTCTAAACTTATTTTCCCTAAAACCATGTTCTATCACAGTGGTGGCGAACCTATGGCACGCGTGCCAGAGGCGGCACTCATAGTCCTCTCTGTTGACACGCGCGCCACCGCTGCCAGCAGCAGATCTATCAGGCCGCCACCGCTGCCCAGAGCAGGAGCCCCGCCCAGCACAAAGGAGGCGAAGCGACCGACTAGCAAGCTTGAGTAGAGGTAGTAGAGCAGAGGTCACCAACCATTGTTGATTGGTGGACTGGAAGAAAAGGGAGGGGGAAGCATTTTACATGTGTGCATACGTGCATGCGGGCACGGGACCGTGAGCATGC